GTCCAAACGTTTTCCCGAAAGACTAACCGTTTTTTAAATAACAAATATTGTAATATTTGAGGGGCGTTTTCACCCTCTTGGAATGTGAGATTCGAGAAACGCCTCCTTATCGAACCTCTACACCCCACAGTCAATCCGTTTGCCAAAGATCAGCTTTGAACGTCAAGCAGTTTAAGCAGAATCGTGATTACTCAATGGTCATATTTTATGAAACACCCTGTATAAATTTATAAAAAATCTTAAAATATGTTAAACAACAAAATAAAATATACGTGTTTAAGAGTTTTTCCGAAAAACTCACCGGTTTTTAAATAAAAAATATTTTAATATTTGGGGGTTAGTTTCACCCCCTTAGAATTCGAGTTTCGGAAAATCCCTTCTTATCGAACCTCTACACCCTAAAGTCAATCTGTTTTCCCAAAATCAGCTTTTTACGTCAAGCGCTTTAAGCAGGATCGTGATTAATCAGTGACCAGATTTTTCGAAACACCCTGTATACATTGTTAAAAAATGTTAAAATATGGAAAAAAACAAAATAAAATATACGTGTTTAAGCGTTTATTCGGAAACTTGACCGTTTTTTAAATAAAAAATATTGTAATATTTGAGGGGTGGTTTTACCCTCTTGGAACTGGAATTTCGAAAAATCCGTTCTTATCGAACCTCTACACCCTAGAATCAACCTGTATGCCAAAATTGAGCTTCTTACGTTGAGTGGTTTGAGCAGGATCGTGATTAATCAGTATGTCAGTCACTTAAGGATTTTATATATTAGTATAGATTAGAAAAACCAGAAAATATAATTCAAGATTTAATCTGGAATCCTAGAAAACAATAACAGCATATACAAACGAAATGTAAACAAAACGGTTACACACAGTACAGTTTGATTTGACCACAGATTTAATATATACTCGTAATTTCGTCGTCAAAATTTGAAAAAAAAAATTCAATTCAATTTTCTAAAAAGACTTCATTGGTGTAGTCTCAGGATCTTTATTAAAACTAGAAAACTGCTCAAAATACTAACATGTTTTCATTTATGGGTGTGCCAATGATGATGGTGTTTTACTGTGAAGTTCTGAAGAAAATCGCTAATTGGTAATACAAGAAAATTAATATTAACATTTAAAAAACGATACTTAAATTGAATTCTGGTTGTCTTGGCTTGAGGGTAATTATATTGATTTAAGTCATTTTATTGACTTAAATTGCAGATTATCATAATTTAAGCCAAAAATATAGATTTAAGTCATAAACACGACTTAAATAACGTTATAATGATTTAAGTCTTTACAAAAATGACTTGGCTTGAAATAAAATGACTTAAGTCAAAGACATAAAACTTAAATCATTAGTACTTAATGTTGAATTTGACTTAGAACTTCAATCGTTTTGATTTTAGGAATGATTTAAGTCTTTTTAAAACTGACTGCTCTGATCTTGAGTACCTTTGTTTGGTTTAATACAGCCTGTTATAAACTAAACACACCGGAAAAATCTAGGGATATCATTTTATTAAAGTTAAAAATAAATGTTTTGAATAAACAACCACATATTTGCAGGCCGATTCTTTCTACTTCGATTGAAACGAAGTAGTCACACTATAGTTATTTCTAAATTTGGGATATTTGCAGAAGTGTTTGTACATTTTTTGTCAAATATATAAAAAGCACCTAGCATCAATTGTTCGAATTTAACCTGTACCGGCTATGTTTTTATGATAACTGGCCAGAATTCATTCAAATAACTCTGTTTAGTATTAAACGACATTATGGAGCGTAGACATCTTAACAGAGACGAAATGCTAAGGGCCATGGGTATGCTCGAAGCTGGAATGCACCAAATCGACGTAGCTAGAGCATTAAATACAACGCAAACTGTAATATCGCGATTAAGTGCACGCTACCGTTAAAGTGGTGATGTTGCTGAAAGGCACACAGGGCGACATCGCATTACTACCCCTCAGCAAGATCATATTTTACAATTAAATGCTCGACGCCGACCGACTCTTACAGCACCAGAGCTTAGTTTAATTCTCCAGGAAACACATAATGTAACCGTTAGTCCTGACACTGTTCGCAATAGATTAAGATAGGTCAACTTAAGAACCAGACGCCCCTGGAGAGCTCAACCCTTAACGAGAGGAAATTGAGAGGTACGATATTTGTGGGCTCAAGATCATGTTCAGTGGTCGAATGAACAATGGGCCAATGTTCTCTTCACGGAGGAGTCACGCTTTGGAATTCATCCGGATTCGAGAAGGATTAGGGTATGGAGAGAACCGGGAAATCTTATAAGGTTGGATCATGTTCAGGAAGTGCACCCTTATCAAGGTGGAACAGTTATGGTCTGGGGAGGAGTCCAGTTGGGCCGAAAAACCGATCGCTTTTTTTTCTTGAAAGGTTTCTAACAGGAATCACATATCGTGATTTAATTCTTGAGCTTGTCGTGTTACCATATGCCAATGATTTTGGGAGAAACTTCATTCTCATGCATGACAATGCGCGGCCTTATACAGCCAGAGTGGTAAGTGAGTTTATCAATGCTCATCAATTAAACATCTTACCCTGACCTCAACCCCATCGAGCACGTATGGGACGCGGTCCAAAGAAGAATTTTGAGAATGGGTATGCCTCGTGAAACTCGTAGGGATCTGGTTCGGGCCGTGAATGCAGCGTGGCAGGCTGTACCTCAAGAAGAGATCGACAACCTGATCAGGAGCATGGAGAGACGATGAAGGGCTGTAATGAACAGTTAAGTAGAGGAGGCTATACCCTTTATTAAGTAAAATGGTTTTATCTTTTTTTTTTAATTCACAGTTTAGAATAAAAAAAAATGTGTGTATTTTTTTGAGTTCAATAAAAATCAAGGTAAATTTGAAAAATTCGGTAAATTTCGCATTTTTATTTCTAATACGTCCTGTAAACTATTTGTTTATTTTAATTTTATTATATCAGAAATGCAAATAATAAAATTACTGACGATGGCTGGATAAAATTGTAATATCCCTAGACTTTTCCGGTGTGTGTATTTGTAAAAATGTGCTATTATTAAGTAAATCTTTTGTACTGTTTACTATACTTGTACTTTGAGTCATGGTAATAAAATATGATAGGTATTATTTATATATTATTACAATTTCAACAACGCCACTTATGAAAACTTGATAAATAATCTATAACATTTTTTGTAGTAATTTCACAGATAATTAAAACTACATAGACACAAGTAATCAAAGAAATCCAGTTGATGATATTTTTTTAGTAATATTATTTGGTAAGAGAATACACAAGGCTATACTCAACTTGAAAAAATTTACCTATTCATATTTGTATACTATATATTATTATCTTTTTGATGTACACACGTACATACTGTCGATGATTACAGGAACATAGATAAACAATATCCATATTCGTATTTGTACTACGTTAAGTAGTTTGTAGGTAGATATAAATAAAAACAGTGTAAAATTATGAAAAAATTATTCCTCGTAATTATTTTAAGAGCAACTGTGTTTAAGGTAGGTAAGTGACATTATTAACGTAAAAATTAAAATAGTTTTAGATATAATTAATCCATACTTCAGTCGGATTATAGATAATTTTTTTCAAAAAAAATATTGGTATTATTTTAATAAAGAGCTACTAATACATATTAACAATATCCAAAAATGACTGGTCATATAAGACGTCATTTATTTAAAAAAAATATATAGCAAGTATTTAATTCCATAAATCAGATAGCTGATATGTATTGATTGTATGAAATAGTAAAAAACCTCACACATTATTGCGAGAATATTTATTTTTTCTCGAAAAATGTGTCGTATTCTGTATTTTTTCTACGTTATTGGTTAATAATTGCTTTGGTGTAAGTGGGTTTTTATTTAGAACACATTGTGCATTTCAATAAGTCACGATTGACCATAATCTTAATTTTTTAGTCCGAGAGCCAGTTACCTTTTTTAATTATACTAAAATCACACGAGTTGATTTTTTGCTATGCTTTATTAAACATTATATGTAAAGTCCCCTTTACACGTAACGTTTTGCCTGCCAGTTTTGAGTGTCAGGTAAAACGGAAGACCGTCTAAATTTCGCTCCATTGAGCGTTGTACGACCTGTAGTTTCCTAATATTGTCCGTTTTTAGTGTCCAAGTTTCGCATGCATAGGTCATAACTGGTAGTACACATTGGCCGAATGTTTTCTTCCTATATAAGTACTCAATGCCTAACTTCAGTGTCCATACATATTATCTGACATATTTGTACGAAAAACTGAAGCAATCTAGTCCTTCCATCTATAATCAGCTGATTACATATTTTAATTAATTTTTGAGAGCATCGACGATGAAGGTAATGTGTGGTATTAGTTTGCAGTAATTAATAATCAAATTTCTAATATGGAATGTGTGTGGTATCCTTTATATAGACAAGGATACTATTAATCATAGAAAAGGAATATGAAGTTTTGTGAAATGACCAACTATAAATGGTCAGTAGCTGCCTGGTTGTTTGTGCACATGCACTAAATCAGACACACGTAGACGGACCTACGAATACAAATAATGCATTTAATTCAATACAAACTACTGTTGGACTGTATGAATTACGTACATAATTCAGATTCTATTTAAAATTTAGATAGTAAATTTTTATAAGTCATTGTAATGATAACAATAATTAAAAATAGCAACTATGTACTAGAAAAATTGTTATGAGACAAAGAGCACCTTTAATAAAAATCAGGAAAATGCTACTCAAGATAGTCTCCGCCAAATCTATAGTTAAATCGATAGCAGGCATATCGGACTCTCTGATTCACGTCAGGGGTAGACAGTCGCATATTAAATGTTGAACCGTCTCGTCTGTATAATAATTAAAATAAGAATTAAATATTATATGAAATATATGTATACAAATCAGTTCATAATGTTCTTCGCCGTCTTCTGATTTCCAGTCTCAATTGGTCTCTGTCTGTCTAGAGGTTTTCGTCTATTCCTTCTCTCGAACTCCGTCCAGGTCTCCCTCTTTTTTTTTGTCATGTGGTGTCCAATTGAGTATTTTCTTTGGGATCTTGCTCTCTTCCATTCTTTGTACGTGCCCGTACCACCTGAGTTGGTTAATTTTGATGTCTTCTGTTATTCTGTGCTTAACGCCCATGATGTTCTGATTTTTTTCATTTCTTACCCTATCCAGTTTCGATTTCCCGGCCGCGCGCCTCCAAAAGTCCATTTCTATAGCTTCGAGTTCTTTCAAAGGCCATACTTTACTACCATAACTAATAATGCTTTTAATTATGCTGTTATAAATTTTGTGTTGATACCGCCTTATCCCATAAAATACTGTTGAGTTGTCTAATTGCTTGTCTACCCTGGTTGTTTCTGAACTTAATTTCCTCATCAAGGCTACCATCGTTGGTAATGTGCATGCCAAGTTGCTGTTCTAGGATTAAGTTCTGTTGTTCGCCGCCGATGCACATATATTCCGTCTTCTTAAGGTTTACCTCCAGCCCCTACTTATTATACTCTTCAATTAGTTTGCGGGTCATATATTCCAGGTCCTCGTAGTCTTGAGCCAGTATTATTTGATCATCAGCGAAACAAAGAGTGTCAAAATAAAGAGTGTATCGAGTCGTTTAATGGTATCCCCATTTGTTCCACGTTTTCAGAGCCTGTTCCAAATAGATTTGAAATAGTGTCGGGAACAGACAGCAGCCCTGTTTAAGGCCTTTGTTTATGATGAATTCCTTTGGTACTGTTTGTCATTTAATTCCATTAGTAAAGTTCTTATAAAGTTCTTGGATATCCTTAATTAATGCTCTGCTGATATTAGTTTTCTCCAGAGCTTTCCACAATTTAGACTGGGGTATACTATCATACGGTTTGGGGTATATTATCATATGCTCATCTTTTTCTCAATTATCTGTGTCAGTGTAAATAAATGGTCAACCGTGGATCTACCAGCTCTAAATCCCGCTTGTTCTTCAGCCTCCATATCCCGGTATTCTTCCTCAATTCTCTTTTTTATATGAAATAAATTGCTGTTAATAATATCGACAATCTAAGTTATTGTATCTTATCAATAAGATAATCTACAATAAAGTTAATGCTAAATGGATTAATACATGATCTATTTATATCCAATTGTTTAATAAAAATAATATTTTTATTTATTGATATTTTAATATATTTTTTTTAAGACGGACCAATATAAAAATAACTTAATAAAAATAATATTTAAAGTTGTCATCATCATTTTCAGCTTATTCAACCATTTCCAATTTTGGTGTAGCTTCCCTCACATATTTAGAAACTCTTTTTGTAGTTATAGGCCCGTCGTGGTCTATTGTCAGCTATGCTGGCCCAAGTTATTCCTGCTAATTTCCTAATATCATGGTCCCATCTCAGGTTCGGTTTTCTTCTAGGTCTCTTAGTTCCTCGTGGGTACCATGCTGTAATTTGTGGTCCATCTGTTGTCCATTCTTCTTTCCAGGTGTCCTGCTCATTGCCATTTGAGGGATTTGACTCTGTGGATGACATCTATTACCTGGGTCTTTTCTCGTATCAACTCTATTCTTTTAGGGTCTCTCTTGGTTATTCCCAGCATATTTCGTTCCATTGAGCGTTGTGCTACCTGCAGTTTCCTTATAATGCCCTTTTTAAATGTCCAGGTTTAGCATGCGTAGGTCATGACTGGTAGTACACATTGGTCGAATGTTTTCTTCTTTAGATAGAGTGGCATTCTAGATTTGAGTTATGATTGAGTTTCTTCATAAGTACTTCTTCTTCTTCTTCCTGTGCCTTGTGCTTAGCCGCACGTTGGCGATTGTCTGTACTCTTAATACAATGTGTAGACTGCCGTTTTCGGCTCTTCGAAATATGGTGGCTGCGTCGCTGATGTTACACCAATCCCGTATGTTTCTTAGCCAGGAATGTTGTTTTCTTCCTGGGCCTCGCCGTCCCTCTATTTTTCCTTGTAGAATCAGCTTAGGAATCTTGAATGAATTTGTCTCCTCTAAGGATATGGCCGAGGTATAAGACTTTCCTTTCTTTAACTATATTAAGCTTTTCTCGTTCATAGCCTGCAGTTCTTAAAAATTCTTCATAAGTACTTCATGCTAACTTAATTCTTCTGTTTATTTCTGGCAGTACTAAAATTCTTTAATAGGGTTAAAATAAATTTCTGTTTTTTTTAAGGAATATACTTCCCGAAACCGATAGGACTTTTTGAAGTGATGAATCCTTAGGTATAGACATTTTATATTTGCTTAAATAACATATTTAAACAACGTTTCTGCTTAAGTGGTTATTTCCAAGTTTTGTCTTAAAATAAAGTCCGGGTACATATAAATGAGTCAAAAGGCTTGATAATGCTTTATTTATATAAATATAAACAAAATTTCCATCTGAAATGTTTGGCACTAGCACGCTAATCTTCTTTTATTACATGACTACAATCTAATGCGGGACAATTATTTATCTGATAGGGAATTTTTAGACAAAAATTACACGTTAGCAATAATAATATTTATTGACAGCAAAGCTAAAAGAAAGACAATACGATTAGGGAGACAGTGATGAGATATATATTATTTGAGAAATGATATAGTGCGAAAAATTGCTCGTTTTATTGTAATAACTTATTTGTAATAAGATTCTGTCTATAAAGGTGACAGATAACATTATTTGCAAGTGTTGTGTCTATTTGTTCTTTGGGTAAGTAGAGAAAAAGAATATTGACTGAACAATTAAAGGTAATAATGTGTGTATTTATATATTATATTTATTTTCAATACTGAAACCATGAATTAACTTACATCACTATGTTTAATACAGCATGTTCAATATCCTTAAGAAATGTTATAAAAATATAATATGAACTGAGTGTCCCATTTTCGTGAGTTTTACAGGGTTTCTCTTTTATGTGTAGAGAAACAAAGTGTGATTTTTACATCACTGTGTTGTTTTTTTATGAAACGAAAGATGCTACATAAATTAAATTTATCCTAGACTTCTTAGTTCCTGAAATACAGGGTGGAATTGAAGATGTTGCATTTTATTTATTTACGAAAATAGTAGATATACCGGGTGCGTCTCAAAAGTGGCTCACCTCTATAACTTTTTTATTTTTTCAGATAAGAAAAACGAGATTTGGTACGTTAGTATATGACATAAATTAGGATTGATTGGCGCATTCAACTGTTTTTGTTCACTTCCTGTTTCACCGGAAATGGCTACAGCATTTGATTTTTAAATGGCACACTCGGTATTTTTTTACCTGATTCGATAGAAAATGATTTCGCATATGGTTTATTTGAAATTGTAACATGGGGTTCATAACGACAATTTAACTCGAAATACCAAGTGTGTAGTACCATATTATTCGCAAAAAAATGCTCTTTCCAAATACACTAATGAGCCATCCTCGTTCAATTTGAAAAAATTGAGATATGGTTAAAAATACGATTTGGGCATCTTTCAACCGGCCAGGACAAGACACTAAAAACATTAGACGATCAAATCTATTTTTCCACGGCTCCTTGATTAAAAATTAGTGTTTTTAACACAGCCATGGCGTTCTAGATTGAAATTTAGAATACAATTTTCTTTTTCGGCGAAAATGTCAAAAGTTGACATATGATATGTCAATCTATTCAGAGTGTCATTTTCTATCGAATAAAGTAAAAAAAATACCGAGGGTTGCAGGTTGATAGACCTAATAAAACACACGAAAATTGGATACCCTGTAAAAAAATGCTGTATATGAGCTTAAGATTTTTAATACAGTGGATATTTCTACATAAATTTTAGTTGTACTTAAGTATGCTTTTTTGACATTAATTTTCATTAATTTTTCATTAAATTTAAAGTTATATTTTTTATCAACTATTCTTTATTCTTCAAGGAGGTGATAACTGTAACTTATAATAATTGATTTATAAAATTCAGTTAGGCTATAATATCCTTCGACATACTACCTGTATACAGAGTGGTTCAAGTTTAAGTAAAGATAGTTCTACAGGTGAAGCCAATAGGTCATATTAAGTGGCTCCCCAAATAAGAGTAAACATTTTTCGTTGAATTGACGCGAACAGAGGATCAAGCACCCTCTGAAAAATCAAGCGATAGCAAGCTTAGTCTATTCCTTATTAATATTCAGTCCTTAAGACATAAAACAGATGAATTATATCTTTTTTATTACCATAACTGAGCACTGGTTAAATTTTGATGAGCCTGTGCTTGTTAAAAATTGGACCACTAAAAGTCTACGCATATCTTCTAAAAACATGCGTTCATTATCTCACTTATAAAAATTCTCAGACAGTAAATTACGTAAAACTATACAGAAAATTTATCATGAGACTATGAGGGCCGCTAAGGACCTTTATTATAAAGGAGAATAGTCATGCTGCTAAAAAAACATGGTCTATTGTGAATGAATTGAGAAACAAAGCTTCTTCATCTACAATATCTCTACCTCACCTGAGAACCTTAACGATTACTTTGTAAATGTCGCGAAAAACTTAGCTAATACCATATGTCCTTAAACTTACACAGTTTCTTTTTTTTCGCCAGTAGTTTTAGAAAGAGCTTCGCAGTACAATTAATACCATCAAAAATAAATCCTCATCTGGGATCGACGGGCTAACTTTAAAAATGTTTTCGAATCTGCCAGAAAGCACTCTGAATCACCTAACTACTTTAATAAACCTGTCATTCCAAAATGTCTTAAGACGGCAATAATCATTCCTCTGCATAAAGGAGGAAACAAAGATGAAGCTTCTAACTATCGCCCAATTGCACTCCTTCCAACGCTATCTAAGATCATAGAAAGGTTGGTTAAAAGAATATAATGGTGATAAAGTTAGATCATCCTGTAGAAATAGTTTTTTCGCTACTTACTTTCCGAGATACACTATCACTGTATCGGAAACAATGTCAGATCGTTCATTGTTCATTATTTCGTATAAATAAGAGAAAACTTTTTATTACTACAGTATCGGACTCGTCAGTCGATTACCTCATAAATAAAATATGGAATTCGATTTAGAGAAATCCACCGGTTTTAGTTTAGTAATAATATTTGTTGAGATACACCGGGCAGAACGCGGGCAATCTGATATTGTGACAAGACTTATCTAGAGAACGTGCGTTTGTCTAGATTTAGATATTTTGACTTTGATTGTTTTGGATTTGTTCGGTTTAAAGCTGTTGTTATTTATTTGCTAAAGTTTTGTGTACTTTTAATTTTTTTCTTCAAAAAAGGGTAAGTTTATTTTTTGATTTTTATTTTCTGTTATAAAAATAATGTTTATTTTGCAACGTAATTTACATAAAAATATAATACACTAAATTATAACACGATGCAAAAAAGGAACTGAAAAAATTGATAATTGATCAAAATTCAGTCCC